ATATAATATTAATAAACCTTATGAATAATGATATAAGTAAAATTTAGTAGAATTCATTCTTATAGTCAGTGAACTTCCAACATGACTTATGATCTAATATTTTCTTGTATAGATAGCTAGTAAACAATACATTAAGTAATAAGTAACAACTTAGGAACACGTTACAGGATTTGTGTGTGTAGGAAAACTACAGTAAAACACAACATTCAGTATTCCTCTCAAAAGACTTAAGTGTTTCTACTTTTTTAAAGGTTTTAACAGGTTTCTGGACAAAATCAAAATATTGCTGCTTTCACAGAAATAACATGAGAGTGAAGTCATTATATTTCATAGATATTCTGATAATATCTTCTTGAGGATGATATATTTTTAAACATCTAAAAAAGTGTGATAATTAGTGGACATGTCTGTGCTTGTAGATATTTTGTAATATGTGGCTGTATAATTTTAAAGGTTCTCAGAAATCTGTCTTGTTTAAAGTATCACACAAATAAAACGTTGTTCTCACTGACTGTTTTTAACAAAAGTAATAAACCTTTTAATCCACAATTATTTAATTTTGCAAAATAAAGCTTTTTTTTCTAAATGTTGCGACCACATTTATTCGGGGGAATCTTCAGGCTTGGACAAATGTGGTCGAAAGATATATCAAAATATTTTTGTCTTTCAATAATAAATTATTGTAGTTTAAGAAATGTATTACTTTTATTAATTAAATTCCACGCGATATATGAGTCAACCAATCAGTACCAGTTGTTTTTAATTGTAAAATTACGACTTCCGATAAGTGAATAAAAATTATTTTATTACCATAATGATATTTCTTTATACAAAGTAATACAGGATCATACCAAACTTTTACATTCACTGTTATAATTGATGTAAAAAATATAATGACGTTTTATTGCTACACAGAAATATATGATCATATCAAACTTTTACATTCACTGTTATAATTGATGTAAAAAATATAATGACGTTTTATTGCTACACAGAAATATATGATCATATCAAACTTTTACATTCACTGTTATAATTGATGTAAAAAATATAATGACGTGTTATTGCTACACAGAAATATATAATCATATCAAACTGTTACACTCGGTGTTATAACTGATGTAAAAAAATATAATGACGTTTTATTGCTACACAGAAATATATGATCATATCAAACTTTTACATTCACTGTTATAATTGATGTAAAAAAATATAATGACGTTTTATTGGTACACAGAAATATATGATCATATCAAACTGTTACACTCACTGTGATAATTAATGTAAAAACCAATTATAGAATTTGAGCCGTTATGTTTTTTCTTGTCTCTTTAATAAAATAATTTTTAGTTGGACAATAGAAACCGAAGTTGTAGGTACCTCCAAATAAGCATTATTGTCTAAATCTTCCTTCTCATGATCAGTTTATCATTAAAAGGTGTCATTTTTAGCATATCGATCTTATCACATTGTAAAAAACTTACCTAAGAGTCTGCTGGATTTAAAAACCACAGTCAAATAATATGTTTTATTATTGTCTTAGCAACGCTTTTACACTTTTAGAAACCCTATACTTTTATTGTTATACTGACTAATTCCTAATTCTAGCTGAAAAGTGAATATCGTTATCTAGTTAATATTGAAGTAAATACTGATAACTGACTTACTTTGAAACATAATTTGAACTCGACTTTCTTCACGACTCTACCTCCCCTACTTACCTTTCTCTGAACCATACCAACCAGGCCAGTCCATGTTCCATTTGGTAATTTTCTTCCCCACTCTCCATCTAATGGCGTCCTTATGACATACCTAGAAATGAAGATGTTAGTATGGAGTTTCTAGAATATAACCTGATTATTTCATGGTAGTAGTAGTAGTGCAGATAGTTTTTATAACCTAATTGCACACAGATCAAATGTACCTGAGAACATAAAGAAAAATGTAAAGTGTAAGAATGGGTTAAAGAGTTCTTCAATCAGAATTTGTTCGTTTCACAAATTGTCACCAGAGGGCTGCTGAGACATTTTACATTTAGTGAACGATATAAATGTTTTACTGAAAGTAATTAGGGCCCCACTTCAGACTCAAGCACTGATTGGAGGAAGAGGAAGATGTCACCGAAGGTGATGAAATAATAGTTCCAACTAATGTCACCAGAGGGCTGCTGAGATATTTTACATTTAGTGGAACAATATGAATGTTTTACTGAAAAAAAAATTATATTAACCTCTTATCAAAGCAAGTTACTTATATAGATCAGGAATAAAAATCAACGCAATTATAAGTATAGCTAACTAAATACACTGTTTTTACATTCTATATGTCAAAGATTATCGAGTATCGTTATGTATCTTTGCTGTTAGCGATATTTTAGCTGTAAATATAATAATATCTCACAAGTTTCGGCCTGCTTAAGAGACTTTGGTTACTCCTAACTTCATGTGCTAACTAACGAAGCGAAATAGCTTTTATAATATAGATATAACAAAAAGAAATTTGAAAAATTGTAAAAAATAGAAATATTAAACGTTCTAATTACTACTTTCAAACTACTTTTTTAAACAACAGTGAAAAACTTGCAGTGAAAGAAAAGATGGAGGTTCTTTTCCATTTTAAACCAAATCTCGTTAATTGTCTTTCTTAAACATGGTAGAATAACTTACAGACAAACTTAGCATATTAAGTTTTTGTATCAGCGTAGCCATTTGTTTGTGTGTGCCTGCTCACAACCTTCCATGTTTTGAGAATGATAAACCTAATCACGTGACTTAATAAATAAATTTCAACCCACCATGGAATATAACAGTTAATGTTTAACCAATGAAGAAAAGCGGCAGGTAAACCAATCATTGAATATAAATAGGTAACATTCAACCCACCATGGAATATAACAGTTAATGTTTAACCAATGAAGGAAAGCGACAGGTAAACCAATCACTGAATATAAATAGGTAACATTCAACCCACCATGGAATATAACAGTTAATGTTTAACCAATGAAGGAAAGCGGTAGGTAAACCAATCACTAAATATAAATGGGTAGCATTCCACCAACCACAAGATATAACAGTTAATGTTTAACCAATGAAGGAAAGCGGTAGGTAAACCAATCACTAAATATAAATAGGTAACATTCAACCAGCCACCGAATATAACAATATTCCTACAACCACAAAAGTAAAAATAAGAAAAGAAAGGGATATAATAGATAATATTTCACAAGCCACTTAATATAATAGATAATCTTAAAAGAACCACCAGGTATAATTAAGTTATAATTAAACGAATTGATCATTGAAACTTCACAAAAATTACTCTAATCGTTAGAATCAATATTTCTTTCAAACATTAAGAAAACTAAGTAATCTTCAATGCTAATATGTCTGTACTGAAATTTATCAAAATGTAAATTTGTGTATTTTGTGTGTTTGACTGACGATGATTATCGTTTGTAGAATTATCACAGAGAAATAAGACAATTTTCCCGAACTTATAAATACAGTAAATACTTGTAAATAACTGAAAAGCAGTTTCGATCCACTGAAGGACAGAAATACTGTTTCTACGAAAACAGATTCCCGGGTAAGTCAGTGGTGAATTTAGGGACCTTTATGTCTAAAATCCGCGATTCATTTCCTTGCGATGCAGTGGCGACGCCAAATGGAGACGAGGAGAGGCAGGGGTCACTCATGAAATTCGTCTGCCTTCCCCAGCAGTTTCAGTAAATCGTTTAATAAAAAGTTTAATGAAACTATATTTCCCAGAATACAACGCCTTCAGTTACACAAGAAAAACCCATCCAACAAAACACTATTCAATCTCTGGTTAGCCTTGTTGTCTTTGCAGCCAATCACAGTACGAAATGAGAAATTGTGAAAACAACTCGTCATGCTACAGCATGACCACCTGAGTCCAGCTAGGAAATTAAAATGGAACCATGGATGACTATGATATTAAAGGAAACAGTTTTATAACTTTCTAATAGATATCATTATTTTGTATGCATGTGTTTATTTGCTTCTATAAACTACTTATAAACTAATCCATGGTATTATATTTACATTTTACTTTTTTCACTAAGTTTAAGAATTTCAAGTAAAAATTTCAACTCCGGAATAAGTAATTAATTAGAAGAGTTAGTGTAATACCTCAATAAAACAAATGCTCGAAGTGATATTGAATCCTGTAGAACAGACAAGCGGGGGAACAAGACCCCCCCTCTCACCCTCTTATTGTATATAGCATTTGTATTAATGCTTATGAATTTATACACAGGAAATGTTCCAATAAACTCAGATGACAATGGTTTGGAGCAGAATTTGAAAACGAGTATAGATTTAGAACTCATTGATTCCCTTAGTATTTGTAGTAATTTATCCCAAATATCAAGGAAACCTACGAGATATAAGTTTACTACTGGCAAAGGTTCTTCACAAACCCCAATAGGCTATCATTAAGACAGCGTAAAAAATGTTCATATGTATGAATTTGCGTATTTTACCTTTTAGAAATATAACATAATGTTCTTGGACAACTAGGGACCTATTGGTCCATCTCGACTGTCCCATTCTCTAAACTAAACTAAAATTAATAAATAAATTAATTAGAATAAATAAAACTAGGTCTTTCATATACTTATCAAGCTTTTTATTAAACTCACTTAAATTTACTGCCTCTACAATATCT